AAAAACTACAGATTGTGAACATCATCTTTCCCTTTCATTCTTCTTTCTTTCTTTTTTTCTTTCCCTTGAATTCTTCTTTCTTTCTTTCTTTCTTTCTTTCTTTCTTTCTTTCTTTCTTTCTCTCTCTCTCTCTCCCTCCCTCCCCCCTCCTTCCCTCCCTCCCTCCCTCCCTCTTTCCCCCCCTCCCTTCCTCTCTTTGTTTTGTTTTGAGATAGGGTTTCACTGTGAAGCCCTGGCTGTTCTGGAACTCACTCTGTAGACCAGGCTGGCCTGGAACTCACAGAAATTCACCTGCTTCTGCCTCCCAAGTGCTGGGATTAAAGGTGTATGCCACTATGGTTTGACCTTTAGAATTTGCATTTTTAAAAAGTTCTGAGTGTTGCTGCTGCTGGCCCAGGAGGGCCGACTTTTAGAATCACTGCCCTGTGATTATAAAATACTTGCACAGCATGCCTGATGCCTTGGCTTCAGTCACCTCTATGGAAATAAAATGAATGAATAAATGAATCTCATTGTTCCAAAGCAGGTTTTCTCAACAGCATCATGAATGACTTTCTAGAGCAGAAAATTCTTTGTGTATCCTTGGTCTCTGTTGACCAGACATCCATATATATCTTCAAATATCATCAAATGTCCCTTAAGAAACAAAATTGACCCAAGTTAAAGAATAATGCAAGAGTCTAGGTGAGTTTCAGAGTGGAAAGAGAAAAAACCTGAAGTGTAGGAGTCTGGTCTAGCCCAGACTCAATGCAGAGGTTAGGGGTTCACTCAGGATGCAGTCAGAGAAGGGTCATTCTATGTGTGGGGTAGGTAGAGATAGCTGATGAGAGCATGGGGCTTTCCTTGGTCCCACAAAGGAGACTGCCATGTTAAATTCACCCCTCCCCCAACACACTTGGGCCTGGGATAAGAGCTGTCCAATCTCAAAGTCTCTTCATCTGCTTTGGGGTTTTTGGTGCTAGGGATCAAACCCAGTGAACCCACCCAAAATCCCCTGGAAGGAACAGTCCTGTCAACTCAATTTTCTGAGACTCAAATTCTCACAGTCCAAATTGCTCAGGGATTTGTCCCCCACACCCTCTTAAGAAGCAGCAGACTCTGGGCCTCTTGGTTAGCAAATATTGGTTTGTTGGTTTTGGTTTTTCAAGACAGGGTTTCTCTGTAGCCCTTGGAACTCACTCTGTAGATCAGGCTGCCCTCAAACTGACCAAAATCCACCTGCCTCTGCCTCCGGAGTTAGGGGATTAAAGGTGTGCATCACCACCGCCCGACTTTCAAACACGGTGGTTTTGGTGTGAAGAAAGAAACAAGTGACAGCTGACTCTGCCTGTCATCTGATTACATGGGATCACTTGCTTTCCCTCTCTAGGGGACTCATCCTTGACTGAGGCCAGGGATTCTCTTCTCTCCCCTGAAAGGGTTAACTGTCTCTGTGCAACCAGGAAAAGTAGGGAAGGAAGACAGGGCCACCCTGTGCTCTCATGAACTGTTTGTAAATCAACTGTTTGAAGCGGGTTAGGGATAGATAGAGCTGGGGCCACAGACTAGAAGTAATTGTGCTGGTGTGTGTGTGTGTGTGTGTGTGTGTGTGTGTGTGTGTGTAAATGACTTAAAAATCCACCTCCCTCACAATTCAGCTCACAAAAAGCCACTCAGTGAAAAAGAAGTTTGGCTTTAAGTGGCCACGGTATTAAGTGCTAGAGCCTGGAAGTCACAAAGGGAAATTAACTGAAAGCCAGAGATGTCATTACACACTCGGGAGCAATCTGTCTCTCCCAAAGTGAGGAGACAATTTGCACCCCCTGGAGATGTTTTATGCTTAAATCTTTATTCCCAGGCTAGGGCTTCTATTCTCTTCAATCCTAAGTGCTACGGCCATTTTCTGCTAATGGCTCCTACTCAGCCCTGTAAGGAATTTGGAAGGACCGCCTGAAGGGGCTGAAGGAAACACCCTCAGCCTCTGAGGTCTTCCACCCTCCAGTCACCACCAACTCCTCAAGGGACTGGGTGGAGGTGGGGGGGGCTGGCTTTGGAAGTGTAGTGTCAGAGGCTGGTGACAAGGGAGCCACATGGCTGGAGAGCCAACTCCAAGTTATTCTCTGACCCCCACATGTTCATCGTGGCAAGTGTTCACCCCCCCACACATAAAGGTGCTTGCTGGTGCAAGTCTGGAACCTCTGTCAAACCACCAACTTATCCTCTTCCCATGTGTACCATGCACAGGTATCCACACACACACACCATAGTCACAAACACACAATGAGGAGAGTAGAGGGACTGGACTGAGGCATGTGGACCTGGTGTTAATAAGGATTAAAGAGGGCTGCAGGGGACTGGAGAGATGGCTCAGGGGTTAAGAGCACTGCCTATTCTTCCAGAGGTCCTGAGTTCAATTCCCAGCAACCACATGGTGGCTCACAACCATCTGCAATGTAGTCTGGTACCCTCTTCTGGACTGCAGGGATACATGCAGGCAGAACACTGTATACATAATAAATAAATAAATCTTAAAAAAAAAAAAGAAGAGGACTGCAGGATGGCTCTGCAGTTAAGAGCATTTGTTATTTCTTTCAGATGACAACAGGTAGCTCACAGCTGTTTGTGACTACAGATCTCCAGGATCCCACGCCCTCTTCTGGCCTTTGTGGACACTGCATGCACATGATGCATATACAGATAAGCAGACACATACACATAGATTAAAAATTAAAGTGGGGTGTTTAGAAGCTACTTGTGGGATGGAGAGATAGCTCAGTGGTTATGAGCACTGGCTGCTCTTCCAGAGGCCCCAGGTTCAATCCGAGCACCCACATGGCAGCTCACACCTATCCTTAGCTCCAGTTCCAGGGGAACCAGTTCCCTCACACAGACATATGCATGCAAAACACCAATGCACATAAAATAAAAATAAATTATTTTTAAAAAGCTACTTGTGATTTCTGTGGTGGAATGAAGATTAGGCTGAAACCATTCGGGGCCACATTTCTCCTGGAGAAAGTCATCATAGCCTTATATGTAATTAACTAGTGCTCAGCCAGATAACAGGGTCACCATTCCCTTTCAAGACGTGTGTGTGTGTGTGTGTGTGTGTGTGTGTGTGTGTAGTGAGTTCTTTTCTTCCACTTTGTTACTGTTTTGAGGCAGGGTTTCTCTTGTGTCTGCCATGCTATGTGGGTTCCGGCTAGCCAGCCTATGAACTTCTAGACAATCCCCCTGCCTGCAACTCTTAATGTTCTAGTGCTTGGATTATAAACGGGCACCACTACATCTGAATTTTTTTTAAAAGATTTTATTTATTATGTATACAACATTCTGCTTCCATGTATATCTGCACACCAGAAGACGGCACCAGATGTCATAGAGGATGGTTGTGAGCCACCATGTGGTTGCTGGGAATTGAACTCAGGACCTCTGGAAGAGCAGTCAGTGCTCTTAACCTCTGAGCCATCTCCCCAGCCCCTACATCTGAATTTTTATTCAGTTTCTGGCAACCAAACTCAGATTGGCCCCCAACTAGCTATGTAGCAGAGGATGACCTTGAACTTGATTCTCCTGTCTCTAGTTTCCAAGTGCTGGGATTACAGTTGAGTGCTGTCATGCCTGATGGAATAGTACACAACACTTTGTATGGTAAAGGCTCAATGTAACGAAACCAGTTTCATGCTGTTTAACCCTGTATTTCTCAAATGTATCTGACAATGGGACCTTTAAACTCAGAGTATGTGAAGTCTGTGGAACACACCCCAGGGAACCTCAATCTATAGGATCAAGTACCCGAAGTTTACACTCTATGGGATTTGGCTGCTTTGGTTTGCTGTCCCCATCTCCAGTCACACTCATGTCCTCTGGCTCATGAGACACACCACCATCCCCTCAGGTCTGGTTATTGTTTTCTGTCCATATCCAAGCCTAATCACAGCATCTATGATGCTTCTTTGTTCTCTCACAGGCACGATAAATCGCTTCCCCCTGTGTTTCCAGTGTGCTTTACTCAAACTTCATTCACCGTATTAGAAGTAATTGCTCTGAGAGCTTTACTATCCTGCTGGCTTCTTCATTAATAAGTTAAATAAATCTCTGGCATGTGCTCACTTAAAAAAAAAAAGTAGTTTATCTCCAACAATATTTTCTACTGGTTTGTGCACTTCTCATGATGGCAAGGACAAGATTTTTTCTGTTTCTGTCCTCACCAATGATGATTCTGCCTGTCACATAACAGGGATTGGTGTTGTTGAAGAACTATGCCCTAAACCCAAGGTAGCACCCTCTTTGACTTACGATAAATATGATCCAAGTTCATGAGCCCAAAAATATAAAGCTCAGAATTGTTGAAGAAAGACGTTTTGCTTAGAAATAGAAAGTTCCATAGATACACATTCTACTTCCTAGGAGCAGATGCCTGCCTGTGTGCTGGACAGTCAACCAGAGACCCCAGGGAGGTAGGAACCAGTCTTAGTAGAAGGCACACGACAGCATTTCTTAACATCTCTGTCTGAGCAGGAAAAGTCAGACAAGTAAAGAGGATCATAAGCCTCAGAAAATGCCATGGTCAAAGCCTATGAAAACATCCATCTCCCATTTGGGCTGCTGGTGAAGTTACACTCTGGCCAAGAGCACCAACTGGAACTGTCACAGCTCTGCCTACTCCAGGAGCCCCGGGCACAGGGGCTCCTGCTGATAAGAAAAGTGCATTGGGCAGAAGGCAGAGCAGACAGACCCCGTTTAGAGACTGTGTCCAAATATACAAGAGCCAGGCTCTTCTGGACCTCATTTATTGCCTTTGTGCATGCTCCGCTTGTAGTTACAGCTACTGATAATTATACCATGTCACTTTCACAGGAGTGAGGAAACCTAAAAACAGAAGTGGGGGGGGGGCCCTCTAAGTGACTAGTGTCTCTGAAGTATAAATGGGTTGTATCTCCTGGACATATGCTTGCTCTGACATACAGCAATCAAGCCTCAGAAAAGACAGCAAGAAATAAGAAATCCCAGCCACAGGGTTCTTGCAAAAAGGTATCTGTTTGGATTTTTAATACAAAATACTCAAACACAGAAAGAAAAATATACAAGCCAGTTACTCAATTTAAAATAAAACAGAAAACAAATCCAACTAACACATTTCAATTGACATTTCCTGTCTCCAGCATAGATTAAAAAACAGGAGACCTCAAACTAATGTTTGTCCCTCTGAAGAAATCTTATTTTTTAAAAAGAGACCAATCCCTGAAATCTGGCAAGTGGTACCAGAGGCCACAGTTGTTCTGGTAAATGGGGTACAAGTGGTTGCTGGAGTATGGCCATCACCCCCAGCTGCTTGCTAGTGACTGTCATCTGAAGGCAGATCAGCCGGGACACCATCTGACTCTGGCCAGTCGTGCAGCTGGAGTCTCAGGTCACACAGCCTGGGAGCCTTCCATCCACATCTTCACTGGATCTCACCCATATACAGCCTCTTATCACTGGATGCTGAGAGGACTGAGGGAAAAGAAAATGACAGGAGACAATGAAGGCTTGGGAACACTTGTGGCTAGAGAGCCCTGTGTCAAGAGACAATTGTGACATATAAGAGCAATTGGATTTAGCGCTTCAGTTCTAAACACTACACACAGGAAATTGCAGCCTGGCTTTTCAATCCAAGTCCTCTTGAAATCCTGAGGACGGCTGTGCTATGGGAACCATGACCGGGCTAAAATCCTGATGCTCTCCTAAGTCAGACCCAAGAAAAAGAGCTTCCTTGTCCATGTCTGTGCCAGTTACACACACATACAGGTGCAGGTGTGTGAGCAGTTTTTGGAGCTGGGGCTTTCTCAGACAAGGTTTCTGAGACAGTCATTATTCAGTCCACGCTGATCTAGAACCTGTGATGTACCCTGGCTAGCCTTAAGCCTCTAGTAATCCTCTTGCTTCTGCCCACCAAGGGCTGGGATTACAAGTGTCCACCTGATGGGGGATGTCCCTCTGTATGCTGTGAATATGTTTCTCTTATTGGTTGATGAATAAAGTTGTTTCGGCCAATGGACAGGCAGGGAGGAGGAACAAGGAGAGTGAGTTGAGAGAGAGAGAGACAGGCCAAGTAGCCCCAGAAGGAATAACATGCCAGAGAGTATTATGGGTAAGCCACAGCCTTGTAACAATACATAGTTTAATAGAAATGAGCTAATTATTAAGAGAGAGCTAGCAAATAAGAAGCCTGAGCCATTGGCCAAACAGTTTATAATTAACAGAAGCCTCTGTGTGCTTATCTGGGACTGAACGGCTGAGGGACCAGGCAGGACAGAAACTCCACCTCCATCTACCCCACGTGGTCAATGTGCTTCTTCGTGTTCTAGAAAGTCGTGGAGAAAGTTAACATGTTTTTTTCTTTAAATTTAAAGCCTATTACTTGGCTTAGCTAATCAAATTTATTATAATTTTATTCTAAATATTCATAAGTCATTTTTGTCTACAGTCCCTGCCACTCCAAGAGACTAAGTCATGGAGAGAACCTGAACTGAGGAGTGACAAAAGAACTCCAAGAGCCTAGCCAGCCTTCTCTGAGGTGATGCCACCCACCATCCAGGACAGCAATCTCAAGATTGTCCTATAGATGACAGCAATCCTCCTGAGGATGCCTGTGTCCACTCTAGGCTATTCTCTTAAAGCCCCACTTAAATCCAGAGTATATTTTCCTGAAATAAACTGCAACACTGCTTCATACTGACTCTCCGAGATCCCTTCCTGTCGTTGAAGTGCTGGGTTCCTCTGAAGAGCCCAGTATTTGGAAGCTTGAGGTAGCAGGATTCCCTCAAGTGTAAGGCCAGCATGGGATACACAGTGAACACCATCCAAACCAAGGCTACATAGTAAGATTCTAGCTGGAGAAATAAGACTTTCAGTTTTAATCCCAACACTTGGGAGACAAAGGCAGGTGGATCACTGTGATTTCGAGGCCAGCCTGGTCTACAGAGTTCCAGAACAGCCAGGGCTATACAGAGGTCCAGTGGTGTGTGTGTGTGTGTGTGTGTGTGTGTGTGTGTGTGTGTTCCAATTTTACCTGAGTATGAGTGTAACAAGAAAACCCTAGGTTGTTATAGCACTGGCATCTCCTTTTATGCTGACAACTACCTTCTATTATGTCAAACCACCACCCCTCCAAAGGAAAAAAAAAAAAAAAAAAAAAAAAAAAAAAAAGGAAAAAAAAAATCAATCCAAAACAAACAAAAAAACCTACACCAAAATACCTTGAAACCAAAATGGATTCACATAACTGTCCCCTGCCTGCCTCTGTGCCCCCAAGTCCCCAGGCAAAGATCACTTTGTCATCTAGAGCAGTCAGGGCAGATGTGGACTTACTGATAGGCTCGTCAGGGTGGAAAGCCACTTCATTGATGGAGCCAGCATGGCCAGGCAGCTTATACAGGATCCTTCTGCTGGTGGTGTCCCATACGTACACAAACCTGCAAGGGGCCACAAAGACAAGTGCAGGTCCCTTAGAAGTAGGGTTAGGACACTTGGGTCTTAAAGTGAAATGGGAATGTTTGTTTACTGAACTATGCTCTGGGTTTTAGAAACCAGGGCTGTACCAAGTGAAGTAAAGAATATCTGATGGCTTGAAACCAACAAAATTGATATAGCCCTTGAATTTGTAATTCACAGAATTTACAAAATTTTGAAATCATAGAAAGACAAACATATCTATGTTACTGACACAGCTTGCTCATAACAGGCTGCAAACATGGAGGTGGGGGGAAGCACAAACCTATGTATACTTTCACTCTAAAAGTATATGATATATATATATATATGTATCATCAATCCCAGCACTGGGAAGGAGGCCAGTAGAATCATGGGTTTGAGGAGCCTAGGATATACCGTGAGATGCTCTAAAGCCCCATACCCTCTAAGCAAACCGGGCTTATTAATTACACCCTCATGCTCTCACAGTCAAGGTTCCAGAGCAAGTAAGTAAAAGTTCTGGATCAGGGCTGGAGAGATGGCTCAGAGGTTTAAGAGCACTGGCTGCTCTTCCAGAGGTCCTGAGTTCAATTCCCAGCAACCACATGGTGGCTCACAACCATCTATAATGAGATCTGGTGCCCTCTTCTGGCATGTAGGCATACATGCTGGCAGAACACTATATGCATAATAAGTAAATCTTAAAAAAAAAATTCTGGAATACTTGGCCATATTGGCACACACCTATAAACCCAGCTCTTGGAAGGAGCAGGCTGGAAGACAAGGAATTCAAAACCATCCTTGGCCACACAGTCAATTTGAGGCTACCCTATCTCTAAATTCAAATGTTCTAGACAAGAAGCAGAACCCCACCTATCTCTGCCTCTTAGCTGGTGCTCATGCCCTCTTTTCTGTCACGAACAAACCCCTATCCCTCACAGCCCACTAAGGGCAAAGTGGAAGACCGATAGCACTGGAATCAGAGAAGCTGGGGTGAGCTCCAGGGCAGCGATTCACTAGCTAAGGCAAAGGCTTCTTTCTTCTGTTACAGTAAAGGAGAAAAAAGGGAGTTTATAGCTTTTTGAGAAAAATGAGAATATATTTAGTGTCTGGCACACAGAATTAATGATTGCTGTTGTTATTATGAGTACAAGTATTATAAAGCTAGAACCACATGTCAGCAGGCTGGCCCGAATCCTCTTGGTCCAGCCTGGCTAGTGTTCGTGACAGGGCTGTGGAGGACTAAAGTGCCCAAGAGGAAGCGATCTGTAAGCAAAAAGGGGAAATCTGCTAAAGCCAGACTCGGCTGGAAAGTGGCTTTCTGAGGTGGATATTCTCTTTCAAGTACACAGAAGCCGGCAGAAGCCTGGATCTCCAAGGGTTTACTTCAAGGCCTCACTCTTCATGGCTGCCAATTACATACTAAATTTAGAGGGGTTCCTTGTCCTCTCCACATTTGGGCATGTCAACATTTCGCAGAAACCAGGCTACTTATGTAACAGAACTGCTTGCTAACTTCAGGCTAACTGTCGAGGTGGCCTATGAAATCTTGCCAAGACCAGCAGAGGCGACAGCCTTCCTTCTGACCCAGCCATGCACCCTCATGTAAAGAAGGGTGAGGAAGAAGAGGGGCCAGGACATCACAAATTAGAAAATGTGCTGGGCATGATAGCACACACCTCTAGTCCTAGTACTTGGGAGGCAGAGGCAGGCGGTTCTATCTCTCTCTCTGAGTTCAAGGCCAGCTTGGTCTACCCAGCAAGTTTGAAGCCACTCAAGACTACATAGTGAAACCCTGTCTTAAAAAAACAAAAAAATCAGAATATTCTCACGTTGGGAAAAAACTGTTGTCAGAAAAACAGCTTATGCAATGATTTTGTTGGTTTTTTTCTTTCTTGAGAACGGGTTTCTCTGTGTAGCTTTGGAGCCTATCCTGGCACTCGCTCTGTAGACCAGGCTGGCCTCGAACTCACAGAGATCTGCCTGCCTCTGCCCCACCCCCCAAACTGGGATTAAAGGCGTGATATAATTTTTTTTTTAAGATTTTATTTATTTATTATGTATACAGTCTTTTATCTGTATGCCAGCAGAGGGCACCAGATCTCATCCAAGGTGGTTGTGAGTCACCATGTGGTTGCCGGGAATTGAACACAGGACCTCTGGAAGAACAGTCAGTGCTCTTAACCTATGAGCCATCTCTCCAGCCCGGCGTGATATAATTTTAAAAAGATACAATTAGCTGGGCAGTGGTGGCACATGCCTTTAATCCCAGCACTCAAGAGGTAGAGGCAGGAGGATCTCTGTGAGTTTGAGGCCAGTCTGGTCTAAAAAGCAAGTGCCAGGACAGCCAGAACTACAGAGAAACCCTGTCTCAAAAACAAAACAAAACAAAACAAAGATATAGTTAGGGGTCAGAGAGATGGGTCAGTGGCTAGGAGCACAGGCTGCTCTTCTAGAGACCAGGGTTTGACTCCCAGCACCCAGATGGTGGCTGACAACCAACTATCTGTAATTCCAGATTCAGGGAATCCAAAACCCTCTTCTGGTTTCCATAGGCACCTGCCAGTGTTGCACAGACATTCATGTAGGTAGGTATAGCTAGATGAAAATTTTTTAAGGACACAGTTTTCTTTATTGATTCGAGGATTTGAGCTGCAGCAAGGACCCCATTCGTTTGGAACAAATGAAGTCTTTTATTGCAGTTGTTTAACAAGCTAACCCCATTAGCTCGGGCCCTTCATTCATCCACCACGGTGGATAGTTGGAGAAAAGACCTAGATGAATTTATTTTTATAAATCTTTCAAAAAACGATAAATTTAAAACAATTTAAAAAAGATGCAATTATATAGGGGAGATATACCATCTCTATGGAAAATGATATAAAACTACTAAGAATGCTTTCCACTCGGTGAGAATGCAAACTCCTTTGTGTGTTTTTGTTTTAAAAGACAGAGTCTCGGACTGGAGAGATGGCTCAGAGGTTAAGAGCACTGACTGTTCTTCCAGAGGTCCTGAGTTCAATTCCCAGCACCACATGGTGGCTCACAACCATCCGTTATGAGATCTGGTGCCCTCTTCTGGTGTGTAGATATACATGGAAGCAGGATGTTGTATACATAATAAATAAATAAAACCTTAAAAAAAAAAAAAAGCCCACCAAAGCATTGGCATATAAATAAATATTGGCAATAAATAAATAAAATCTTAAAAAAAAAAAAAGACAGTCTCACTATACAGTCCAGAGTGGCCTCAAACTCTGACCTTTGCCTCAGTTTCCTGAGTGCTGGGTTACAGGCAAACAAACACCAGGAAAGTCTCCCTGGTCTATTTCCTAAGTTTCTGTTTGTCTGTTTTTTAATGTGCTCTAGGTATGAAACAGCTTTGGCCACCAAGCCAGGCATCAAACTAGGATGAACAAAGGATTACCATTTGCTTTGTCCCTAGCTGATAAAAGAATAACACCAACAAGGTGCCAAGGGGTAGGGGTGGGGTTAAATTTTCTTTTTCTCAATAGAAAATCTCTTAAACTCTTAAAGGTAGGCTTTCTAAGCTTCTGAGAGGCAAACCATCAATATAGCACTGTTTCCTTTAGGTAACCACTTGTCCCAGCCTGAATACTTGTCCAATTTTCCTGACATTAAACTTGTTTGGTAGAAAAAAGGACATAAAATTTTCCAAGCATAAGCCAGGTGTAGTGGTACACATCTTTCAAACCCAAGTATTTGGGAGGCAGAGGCAGATACATCGTTGTGAGTTCAAGGTCATCCTGGTCTACAGAGTGAGTTCCAGGACAGCCAGAGCTATATATGGAGATCATGTCCTGAAAACAAAACAAAACAGTTTTCAAGCATGTCCCCAAAGAGAATCCTGAAGTGTGCTAAAAGCTATGAGCTAGGGAGCAACCTGGTTTACAGGCCTCTACCACTGGGTCTCCAGGAGTCCCCATAAGCCCATTGTCCTTGGCCCCCAGAATCCCTACTGCACCCAATTTCCTCCCTAGTACATGAACAACAGCATCTGATGGGTATATTTTCTCCCTTGTCTCTCACTCACAACACAAGGCCTTGAACCAGCTTAAGTTTGCACATAAGAAAGCCTTGGCCTATTTGGCACAACAGACGACATGCAGCCCACTTCACTCAGCAATGCTGGCACTTTCTACTGAGCCCAGACCTGGCTCTGAATCATCTTCAACACTGGCAGCTACAACCCAATTTTGGGTTGACACAAAGGGTGGAATTTGACTGCCATCTCTGACCTAGGAATTCATTCTCATAATTGTTAGCAAGTGATTATAACAATTCAAGCATCAACTAGCAGTACCTGAGTTTACAGAGAATGTCAAGATGCACCCCCTGACTGCTGAGAGCAATTCATAGGGATATCCCAATATGCTTGTCTAAACGTACGAGGGGGAAATGCTAATAAAAGTTAGACATATGAAGTGTGACTACAGCAAAGAGCAATGTGCTATGTTAAGGAGACAAAGGGGGAGAGAGTACCAGGGAAAGGTCAGATATAGCAGTCGTTACTAGGAAGACCCAGAGTCTTAGAGTAGAGAGGGAGGTCTGAGAGGGAACCCGGGGTGAGTGAGGATGCGCAAGGGAGGTTGACAGTTCCTTGAGAGTGCAGCACTGGGATGGCCAGAGAGGACAGTCTCAAATGTATCGAATGGAGTAAAGCATGGCAAAAGACCAGGACAGCTGGGAGATTATGAGTTTCCAACAGATTACAACAGTCTAAAATGGAAACAGAGACAGACAACTCTGTTCAACACAGGCTTTAAGTCCTTCAGATGGCATCAAATATGTCTGTTGTCTTCATATCCCTGCATTAAATGTGAGACCTGAATAGCCACATCATTCTCTACCTTATACCCAGGAACCCATACCTGTCTGCTGAGCCAGCAGCTATCTTGCTTCCATCAGGTGACCAAGAACACCGGAGGAGGTTCTGTAATGAGCAGGAATGTACAGGACAGTTAATATGCCAAATTGCTCTTGCTGTACTAGGAGTCAACTGACTAAATTTTCTAGGAGACTGAGTGTCTCCCCAGAATAAACATCAGCTAATATAGCCCTGCTCAAAACAGCATGCTCTAGGCTGGGCGGTGGTGGCACACACCTTTAATCCCAGCACTCAGGAGGCAGAGGCAGATGGATCTCTGTGAGTTCGAGACCAGCCTGGTCTACAAGAGCTAGTTCCAGGACAGCCTCCAAAGCCACAGAGAAACCCTGTCTCAAAAACAAAACAAAACAAAACAAACCCACAAACAACAACAAAAACAAAAAAACCTCTCAGCATGCTCTATAATTTTACTTATTTTCCTTTAAATATTTATCTGTTATTTTATGTGTATTATTTTAGGTGTTTTGTCTGCAGGTATGTCTGGTGTGCCTGATGACTGAGGAAGCCAGAAGAGGTCGAATCCCCTGTGACTGGGGTTAAAGACAACGGTGAGCTGCCATTCAGTTGTCAGGAACCAAAGTCAGGTCCTCTGCAGGAGCAGCCAGTGCTCTCATCTGCTGAGCCAACTCTCCAGCCCACTTTGTAACTTTATACTACACAAAAACTAGATTCAGAAATGCTAACCCTAGTTATCAAGAACAAGCCCCACAACAAGACTTGGCTCCCTTTGCTCCACTTCTCTTGATCCTCATTACAACATTTAAAAATTTTATCCTATTTTTTTGTTTTTATTCTTTATTGCTTTATCTTGAAGAAAAACAAAAAAAAAAACGCCAAACCCAACAAAAGTAAGATTTGATTTATAAGGCAAAACAATCTCAGGGAACTCTCAAAAGAAAATCATTAATCTCTCTTAAATTCAATGACAGAAGAATCCTTTCCAAAAGAGCTGACTGGACACGTGAGGGTTTCAGAAAAACTCTCTTGAACTCAGGCCATTGTGATAACAAGAGGAATGGGTGTAGACCCAGGACTCTAAGAGCTGGCATCTGGGTAACAGCGATGTGAGCCCAGGGCCCACAGATACTGATTTACAGGGTTGAGATTCCAAGGAATAAAAAGCCAGGCTTGCCCTGTTAGGGAGGTACTGAAGTCAGAAGTCTTACCAAAGAGGACTGGCCCCAGTGCTATCTATCCGTGTGGCTGCCTTGTCCAACATGGGTGGGGACATGCTCCTGGGATCTGAGCACACGGGAGGCAGGAGCAGGAGAGAGGGCAGCTTCAATGATGCTGGTTACCAGACTTCACTCATTCTCAGTGGGTCAACAATTCTCTATCCTTAGTATCACTATAAAAGTTTCTTCAGATCAAATGGATAGTAAAATCATCCCCCGTGGCAGGTACCACTCACCTTTTCAAAGTTGTGCACATTTCCTTGAAATATCTTCACACATCTCTCTTTGGGAGCAAAGGGCCGGACATCCCAGACTCGCACTACAAAGCAAATCCAAACCAGTCAAGCAACAAACACAACTATGAGCCAGCAGCTTCCATGTCAGTAACAAATACTGTCTCCTTCATGAGGAGGACCAACACAACACAATACTAATTGCTAAGGCTCTTTTTAATCCCCCCCCTTTCTTTCTTTCTTTTTTTTAAAAAGATTTTATTTATTATGTATACAACATTCTGCTTCCATGTATATCTGCACACCAGAAGAGGGCACCAGATCTCATAACGGATGGTTGTGAGCCACCATGTGGTTGCTGGGAATTGAACTCAGGACCTCTGGAAGAACAATCGGTGCTCTTAACCTCTGAGCCATCTCTCCAGCCCCTCCCCCTTTCTTTTTGAGACAGGGTTTCTCTGTATAACAGCCCTGCCTGTCCAGGAACTCACTCTATAGACCAGGCTGGCCTTGAACCCAGAGATCCGCCTGCGTCTGTCTCCCAAGTGCTGAGATTGAAGGTGTGCAACATCACTGCCCAGCTGCCTTCGAGTCCCAGGATCAAATTCAAGTAATCTAGTCTGAATGTAGATAGTTTAACTAGCTGAGTCCAATCACTGCTTCCCCAATGCATTTCATTTAATACCAACTCCTCCTCCCTTTTAGGGTCAACAGACACTAGCCCAAGAACAGCTTTGTTCTCCAAAGTTACCTGTATTGTCCATTGCATTGGACAAGAGATAAGATCCCTCAGAACTTAAACTCAGGCCGGTGACAGAATCTGCATGGCCTCTCATGGTATAGGTTAACTTGTTTTGACGCAGGTCCCAAACCTATAAAAACACAAAACTGCACTCAATATTCAAATTGAAAAACAGCAGAGAAAGGCCAGGTGTGGTGGTGCACACCTTTAAGTTCAGCACTCAGAGGCAGGAGGATCTCTGTGACTTTGAGGCCAGCTTGTCTACATAAGTGAGCTCCAGGACAGCCAGGACTGCATAGACACTATCTTAAAAAAGAAAGAAAAGAGAAGTAGAGACACGATGGCTCAGGATTCTAGAAGCAGAAGCAGGCAGATCTCTGAGTTCAAGGCCAGGCTGGCCTACAGAGACAGTTCCATTACAAACAGGGTCACATAGAGAGACCTTACATTAAAAATAACAGTAGCCGGGCGTTGGTGGCACACGCCTTTAATCCCAGCACTCGGGAGGCAGAAGCAGGTGGATCTCTGTGAGTTTGAGACCAGCCTGGTCTACAAGAGCTAGTTCCAGGACATCCTCCAAAGGCACAGAGAAACCTTGTCTTGAAAAAACAAAAAAACAAAAAACAAAAACAAAAACAAGGGGCTGGAGAGATGGCTCAGAGGTTAAGCGCACTGACTGTTCTTCCAGAGGTCCTGAGTTCAATTCCCAGCAACCACATGGTGGCTCACAACCACCTTGAATGAGATCTGGTGCCCTCTGCTGGCATGCAGGCAGAAGACTGCATACATAATAAATAAATAAAATCTTTATATATATATAAAAAAAAAACCAAAAACCAAAAACCAAAAACAAAAAAACCCCAGCAATAAGAACAACAACAGCAACAAATAAATCAAACAAACTTGAGTCTGGGGAAAGGACTCAGAGGTTAAGAGTATTGCTGTACTGCCACAGGATCTGGGTTTGGCTTCCAGCATCACATGGTGATTCACAGCTATCTGTGACCCTAGGTGCAGGGGGTCCAGCGCCCTCTTCTCACCAACTCTGGCACCCGGCACACATGTGGTGCACATACGTTCATATACATCAAATAAAGTGTAAAAATCTAAAAAAGAGAAACACAACTATATATACCAGATGCCAGGCTTAGTGGTATATGTCTAAACCCAGCACTCAGGAGGCAGATGAAGAAAGAGTTTGAATTTGAGGCCAGCTTGAACAGAGTTCCAGACTAACTTGGCTATAAGACCATCTCAAAAAAAAAAAAAAAAAAAAAAGCCAGGTGGTGGCTGCGCATACTTTTAATCCCAGCACTCAGGTGGATCTCTATGAGTTAGAGACCAGCCTGGTCTACAGAGTGAGTTTCAGGACAGCCTGGACTACACAGAGAAACCCTGTTTTTTTGGGGGGGGATGCCAAGTGCACCCCTGAATTCCAGCACTTGGGAGGAAAGGCAGAGGGTCAGAAGTTCAAAGATACCCTTAGCTATATAGTATATTTGAGGTCAGAAGTCTCAAAAACAAAACTAAAGATCATCACTAGAGACAGAGGCAGGACTGCTGCAAGCTCCAGGTCAACCAGGGACAAAATCAGATAACTGACTTACTGAAAGTAATGCCCAAAATTATATAAAGTAAACATGAAACTGAAAACAACTAAGATTTTTCATCTTATAACATGTATATAGAAACAATACATATGTATGTATATGCATATATATATTTTTAGAAGAAAGAAAATGGAAAGCATGTTTAGGCAAAGAGTCCTTTGAGCCTCTTCTGGAAGACAGTCACAAGAGTATCTAGGAGTTCTGCCCTTCCCTGTTTGTTCATCACTGGGGTTCAAGTCCAGGGCTTTGTGCTCTACCACTGATTCCATCTCCAGCCCCAACAGTATATGCATGTCTTCTGTCTGTCTTTTGTATTTTTTGTGGTGGTGGAGATTGAGCATAGAGCCTCAAGCACAATAGGCAAGTGCTCTCTCATTGTGAAAGATTACAAGTAAGAATGCTTTGCATATGCCTGGTACATGGCAGGCTCTAAATATTATTTAGCAGTTCCTAAAATAACTCTAAAGCCAAAATATAAATATATTTACATAATAGGCGATTAAGCAAATATGTAAAAATAAACATTAAAATGAACAGAAATAGCCTGGATGTCACAAGGAAAAAGATTAGCAATTTTCTGAAGGTGATTGCTATTATAAAAGAAATTCATTTAATACTGCCATGTAATTTTTCTAAATGAATAAAATATATGATATCCCCTAAAGCATAGCACTTTCTTTTATTCAGAAAGGAGTTACGTGAATGTACTGATGTAAAAATTTGAATACTAGGGCTGGAGAGGTAGCTCAGTGTTCCAGAGTATCTGATGCATAGCATCCTTGGTCAGTTTCCAGTACCCACACTGGGTGGCTAGCAACTACATGTTAACTTAGCTCCAAGGGATCAGAACCCTCTTCTGCCTCCTAAAGGACACACACACACACACACACACACACACACACACACACACACACACACAGAACCCTTTTATTTTTTATTTATTATTATTTGTTTGTTTGTTTTTTTCAAGACAGGGTTTCTCTGTGTAGCTTTGGAGCCTATCCTGGCACTTGCTCTGGAGACCAGGCTGGCCTCGAATTCACAGAGATCCGCCTGCCTCTGCCTCCTGAGTGCTGGGATTAAAGGCATGCGCCATCAATGCCCAGCCCACACACACTTTTTAAAATACCCACTTTGAATCCCCTTAAATACAAGCCTACAATGCCAGCATTCAGAAGGTTAAGATGGGAAGATTGCAAGTGTGAGAACTTGCCACCCAAACAAACAAAACAAGCCCAGGTGTGGTGCACACCTTTAATCTCAGCATCAGGAGGCAAAGGAATACCTATGAGTTCAAGGTCAGTCAGAGCTACATGTCTACTATCTCAAAGAAAACTAGTGGACACCAAATCATGACTTAGTTTAGAAAGATGAAGGCTACACGGCTATAAGAATCAGGACACTTTCCAAAAACATAGAGATGGATATTTTAGAATACAGAGTTAAATTTAACCGCAGTATTCATGGGATTATATTTGTATGTTCCTCATATCTGAGATAAGTTCAAATTTCAGAGGAAAACTGGTATATATCAACATACAATGGCTAGGATTTGTTTTCTGCAGCGAACCCACCCTAAGAGAAGGTATGACAGACAGACTGTCTCCAAGATGACAGAAAACTACAGGAGGACCAGGCAGACCTTCAGGCTATACCAAACTGCCATGCTCCATACTGTTTGTAGTAAGATGACAAATACAAGTATTCTGCCTGTTTGTCCCTGTGGTGAAGCTTAACTAAAAAGAACCCAGTCCCCCAGAAGCTACACACTCATATACCCCAAATATTCTGGAAAAGTAACAATAGGACAAAGAGATCAGTGGTTGAAAGACATCAGGGACAGGGTGTGGCACAAAGGGCAACACTGTAAACTCTGAGGGAGGCTGGAAATTGTCCTACATGCTGGTTATTTACCAGGTTTGTTTGTGTTTTTTGAGACAAGGTCTTACTATGTTGCCAGGTTGTCCTCGAGCATGTGATCCTCCTGCCCCAGCCGTCTTATGCTAGGATTATAGAGATGATAGTTTTGATAGCCATAGGAAATCTATGCAAACATTAACATTTTTACAGGCAGACACCAGAGTAGAATCTTTAGCAAACATTAACATTTTTACAGGCACATACCAAAGTAGTATCTTTAATTGTTTTCATTTATTTACCTAGAGAGAACAAACCGCTTAAGTGGTGTGCACATGTGGAGGTCAGAGGATAATTTGCAGGAGTTGGTTCTGTTCTTTCACCACATAGGCTTTAGGGACTGAATAGGTGGTCAGGCTTGGTGTCAGGGGCCTTCCCCACTGAGCCATCTCACTAGCTCCCAAGCAGTATCTTAAAGCATACATAGAACCCTGAGTTTTATCCCCAGACCTAAGGAAGGGAAGGTGGTGGAGGTCATAAACCTAGAGAGAGATCACTGAAGCCTATGATGGGGGAGTAACCTGCCAGAGTGCTAAGGCCGTTGTCACAGAACTTGGGGAAGATAGTTCAGGTCTGTGTTAATGGGATTATATTAAGAAAGGGGAAAAGGCTTTTTAAAAAGGCTTCATAATTTAGCAACAAAGAAGTCACTGGGTGATTGTTGGAACACGGTCCAGGAATGAAGCTTTGTGAGGAGAGTTCTGTGTGCTTGTGAGAACACTCCAACAACATTCCTGTTCATCAATGAAGGAAGTCAGGACAGGAACTCAAACAGGGCAGGATCCCGGAGGCAGGAGCTGATGGTGAGGCCACGGAGGGGAGCTGCTTACAGACTTGCTTCCGATGACTTGCTCAGCCCACTTTCTTATGGAACACAGGACCACCCACCAAGGGATGGCACCACCCACCATGGGCTGGGTCCTCCTCCACTGATCACTAAATGAAAAAATGCCTTACAGCTGGATCTCACTGAAGCATTTCCTCAGCTGAGGCTCCTTCGTCTCATGACTCTAGCTCATGTCAAGTTGACACACAAAACCAGCCAGTACAGTGCAAAAAACTCTTCAGGGTTTTTTTTTTTAATAAATGTTGAGTATGACTGTGGAACAAAACCCTGGGCTCTGTCTGTCTGTCCAATCTTTCTTTTTTTTAAGATTTATTTATTCATTATGTGTATATAATTCTGCATCTGTGTATGTCTAAACACCTGAAGAGGGCACCAGATCTCATAACGGATGGTTGTGAGCCACCATGTGGTTGCTGGGACTTGAACTTAGGACCTCTGGAAGAGCAGTCAGTGCTCTTAACCTGAGCCAGCTCTCCAACCCCTGTCTGTCCAATCTTAACGTACTAGAGACAAAATTATCATCACTACAATCAACCTTCTTCATGAAGAGGCTGTGAAGGGACAATTCACAGGGTGACAGCAAGAAGAGGTTTAAGGATGACCTCTGATCTTCCATCTACCTCCCAAATGCTGGGATTATAGGTATGCCCCACTATTCTAAAGTTATCTGAGGCTGGAGATCAAACTCAGGGTTTTGTGCATGCCACGCAAGCAGTCTACTCTCTGAACTGCATCCCCAGCCATCTACAGTTTTTCTCAGCATTTCATCACGGTAAAGGCTCTAACAGGAGGTACCACAGCCCAAGAGACCAGCTCTCAAGGCTACAACCAGGGTTCGAAGAAAAGGTAACAGCGTAGTGAAACTGAACTTAAGGGTTGTCTATCTGAGGGGTAAAGACTTACATACAGGATTTGAGGGTCATTTTCTTTTACTATTTTGCTGCTCTAATTGTCTCTAATTCTCTTTAGTTCCAATTTTTTGTTTCAATTCTCTTGTTTCAATGTTTCTTTGTTCACCCAGCTTAAATACATATTTTTACAGGAGACTTGAGACAATTAGAAAAATGGCTACAAGAGTTACATCTTATGGTCAAAACACTTTCCTTGGGTAAGTGATAAGGAGCCAGCCACTTACCATGATAATGCATAGTCAGGGACATGGTGCTTGACACCTTCCCAGGCAACCAGGCAATGGTATTGAAAACATCTCAACCCTAAAAATATATTCCCTTATCCTGTTTGTAATTTCAGAACACAGAAAAGGAAGGAACCTTATAATTTTGGCTACAGGGCCAGACCATCCTTTATAGTCCTGGCTAATTGTGAAACTTTAACCACAGTAGCTGGACATAAGACTAACCTTCTTTGGACTTGGTTAATTGACTAATTGTTATTTGGGACCTAAACAATAAACAATTAGCTGAAACTTGAGTTTTATATCATAAACTGAGGTTAAAATTTATGTAGAATGTTGTTAAAAAAATTAAAAAATAATGGCCGTTGACCTATGTTATTGGCCAAGTTTAGTTAGAAAAAATTGACATAATATTTTAGGGTGCTTTATGTTAATAACCTTGGTTAAACATCTGTGACTATGTCCTTGTACATATCTGTAAAATTTTTAACTTACAATTCATTTACAGAAACATTCAGTCTAGTTTAAATTTGCTCTGAGATAAAAATGAACTAATTATGTATAGCTTGTCTTAGACTGAGGAAAAATTAATCTAAATAAAAGGAACAAAGTAGGCTTTTAAGTGTCTTACAGTCCTCATGGGACAATAGATCTAGTTATAAAACAAGTATTTTTTTCTTCCTGGTTTTTCTAGACAGGATTTCTCAGTAGCTATGGAGTCAGTCCTAGAACTAGTGCTGTAGACCAGGCTGGCCTTGAACTCACAGAGATCCACCTGCCTCTGCCTCCCGAGGGCTGGGATTAATGGCGTGCACTACCACCACTATCACCACCCAGTGTCATAATAGCTACTTTTGCACATGTAAAATGACAGACAAAATCACTAGTTCCCAGAGTCAATGGTCCCATTAGCCTTACCTGAACAGTATTCTCCACCAGAGAATCATTCCTCTGATAGACTGACATCTAAACGCTAGTTGTCACCTACTGTATACTCCCACAGCCTCTGACAAGGAGGAGTAGGGAAGACCATCCTCAGCTACATAGAAAATAGAAAGCTTGATGCAGACCAGCAGCTGGGATGTGTGTGTGCATGTGTGCACACTTGTGGGTGTGCATGCAAAAGAAGACAAGAAAGAAGCCGATGGAGTGCTGAAGAAAGAAAGGCTGAAGCACTTCCACCACCTGCAGACAAAAGTAAGGACACCTCATCTAGTAAAAGCAAAGGAGAGGGGGTTGGGGAGGTAAAGCTTCTAAGCAGGGTCACAACAGGAAGTTGAGCATTACCTATCATTATGGTCACAATAAAGCAGACGGAGCTCCTCAAAGACTCCAAAGAGGCAGAGGCAGACACCAACTGCAGCTCCACACTGCCTGCCAATTGGCACTTGCTATGTCTACGACTCTGTGAACCTTACAAGCCCACAAGGCAGATGCTGCTCTCATCGCTGTTTACTCAAGGAAACTGGGGCTTAAAGGAGCTGAAGAACATGAGGCAACCACAAAAGGAGGAACTGGTTGGAATTTAGGACTGGTCCATGTTGTGCCCAAATTCTGAACCCCAAAATCACCAAGCGGCCCATTTTGATGCAAAAGCAATGAGTCTTTTATTGCAGTTGTTTAACAAGCTAACTCTATTAGCTCAGACCTTTCTTTCATCCACCACAGATGGCTGCAGAAAGACCCAGAGAAACCACGAGACAGGGATCTTACAGCAACATAAGGAGTCTAGGAGTATCCACAGGCTCAGGATTGGTGCACCTCCAGGCTTGGAGGACCTGCCCTGTGTTGATTGGTCAACTGGTTGTTAGGGCCCATCGGCCCTCCCAGGGCGGTTGCTATGCTCCCCACATCACTGCTGTGCACTTGTCCGGAAAGCACACCCAGAGCCATGCTAGCTAACTTCTGATTGGTTCCTTGCCAAGAGGAGGGCATCTGACCTCCTAGTGAGCAGGGCATGCCCAGCAAGGTCAGGCAAGCAGGTTTTAGCCTGTCATGGCTGCCAAAACAGGGGATGGGGGGTGGAGGGTGGGGCTGGGCTGGTCCACAGCTTTCCCCAATGTATGTTCCCTCTTCTTGGAAAAGCTTAGGAAACTTCCTTTCCACACTGTCAAAAGGACCATACTGAGGAGGAGGGGAGACAGTCAGAGATTAATCACTGTCTCTTTAGACCAGAGAGCTAAAAAACGATTGTCAATGTCTTGTGTAGAGTAAGAAGGTTCAATAGGTAAAGGCACCTGCTACCAAGGCTGACAGTTTGATGTCAACCCCTGGGACTCACAGGACAGGACAGAACTGATTACAAGTTGTTCTCTGACCTCCACACACAGAAATAAGTGTAATTAAAAATGAGTAGACAGATAATCTAGTCAGGGAATGAATTCACTCCATATTGTTTTTTCAAGAAAAGGTCTCTATGTAGCTCCAACTGACCTGGAACTCACTCTGCAAACCAGGCTGGCCTTGAACTCATCAAAATCTGCCTGCCTCTGCCTCCTGAGTGTTGGGATTAAAGGCGTGCACTATCAGGCCTGGCCATACTCTGTATTTTTCACAGTTCCCCTCCACTCAAGGATTACACATTTCATATTAAACACCTGGTCCTTGGTGGCAATTCTATGAGCCTATATACATTTATATGTAACCTTTGATTTAGGAAGTAATTAGTACAAAAGAAAGTAAGTTTCAGGTCACTATCTTCCTTTTAGTTTGGCATTAAGTGCCAACCACCTACAATGTCAAAATTTTAAAAAGATTACTTCTGCTATGTATACATGAAAGGTAAATATAACATAAACAACCATACCTTGATATCGTTGTCTATTCCACCAGAGATAATCTGATCACTTGTGTCGTTGAAGGTCACAGCTAACACCTGGTATGTGTTCTGAAATGTCTGGATAGCTGCTTTCTTGCGGATGTCCCAAAGCTGAAGTGGAAAACAGGCACCATCAGTAACATAATTCTCAGGAGCAATCACACAGCACACCCCAGGCCACCTTCAAATGAACCGGAAACACTGGGCCCCTGCTAATGCTTGGCACTTCAGCTATTCCCAACCCTGAGCCTTCCCATCTAAGCTAGAAGTTTAGGGCATCCAATTACTAAACAGCTAAGCCTGCCCATGGGGGTGGAGAGATGGCTCAGTGACTAAGAGCACTGGCTGCTGTTCTTCCAGAGGACCCAGGTTTGACTCCCAGCCCCCACAATTCCAAAGGATCTGACTCCCTCTTCTGGCCTCCACAAGTGCCAGGCAATGTAAATGATGCACAGACAGACATGCAGGCAACACACCTATACATATAAAAGAAAAATAAATAAATCTTAAACAATCAAAATCAGTATGTAAAATGTAACAAGTGTCAGTGAAAAATAAGACCTAGATGGCACCTAAGATTACTCCTATTGGGTGTTGGTGGTGCAAACCTTTAATTCCAGCGCTCGGAGGCAGAGGCAGGTGGATCTCTGTGAGTATGAGCCTAGCGTAGTCTATAGAGTAAGCTCCAGTAGAGGTTCCAAAACTACAGAGAAACTGTCTTGAAAAACAAACAAACAAACAAACAAAGAAAAGGGCTGTACTCTTGACAGTTCCGGAAAGAGGAGGGTCATGTGTCAGTTCAGTTATAACTTTTCTCTGCACGCCAGCAGCGTGCCTCCATGCTAGGCTGCGCCTGGCTTTGAAAGGCTGTAACAAACTGTCTCGATCTCATCACTGTCTCCAGTGCTTTCATTATGAAGCAATAGTATCTCATGACACGGGGATCACTTTTATCGCCTAATGAAGCCTGGAAGAACAAGTCATTTTAGTAATATTTTCAGTTTCTCTGTCAAAAAAAACTAAACCAAAAACCTCAAGAGTTCTTTATCTTCCTGATTCCCCTCACAAGCACCATGATCACACAAGTGTAGTACCACATTCAGCTGCAGGGAAGAAAAAAAAATTTGTTCACTTGTGTGTAGCGTGCGCCCATGATGTATATTAATGCATGTGTGATGTACAAACAATGAATGCACTGTGCAAGCTGCAGGCTGACATCAGGTGCCATTTCCCCTTACACACAGAGGTGGGGTGTGGAATATTCCTTTACACCATGGGAGTACATGCCGCTGTGACTGGTTTAAAAAGAAGCTGGCTGGCCACTAGCTGGATAGAATAAAGTTAGGAGGAGAGCCAAACAGAATGATGGGAAGAAGGACAAGCTGTACTGAGAAAAGGTACCAAGTCATGTGGCAGAGCATAGATAAGAAATAATGGGTTATAAGAGTTAGCGAGTAACAAGCCTGAGCTATTGGCCAAGCATTTATAATTAATTATAAAATTTATAATTATTTAATTAATAGCCTCTGTGTGGTTACTTGGGAGTGGCCTGTGGGACAGGATCGTCTGCCTATACTGGGGTCTCTGAATCTGGAGCCTGTCATTTCAGCTACTCTCTCAGCTTGTTCCATGGATTCTCTGTCTCTTCCGCCCAGTGGACTAGGATTCTAGTAAACCACCAGGCCCACCATCTTTTTTCCTTGGGTGGTAGGGATCTGAACTTTGGTTCCCATGCTTGCACAAAAAGCACTTTATCCCAGCCCTGAAAAACACTGAGACTGTTGTACCATGTAGCTGTAATGTAAATTACATTGGTACACTGTGGTGTGCTTGAAGAAAGTGGATTCCAGGAGTGGAGAGATCCTCTGTTGTCTCCTCCAAACCCTAATCCAGGGTCAAGCTGGGTCTGCACCAGGGAGATGGAGAAACAGCCAGCAGCTAAGGGAATTAAACCCCATGCCTTTGAGAACAGCTAGAAGGTAACCAGTTTCAACAGTCCCCATTCTATGATGCAAAAATGCCTGTAGTGGGAAGGAGAATCCAGCTTAGCCAGGGGAGAAAGCTCAGTGGGAACTCCAGCAGAGTGTCCCAACTTCCGCAGCTGATTTCTGCTGTGTGTCTGTGTGAGTTCTGATTTGATAGGGTTACCTCTGACCTCTCAAGCAGGCTACTTCCAGCATCTTTGCTGGCTATTATAAATTAATTAGAGGATATTTTGCTATTTGCCGTTCATGCTATTTACTATTTGTTCTTTTACATTTGCTTGTTATGTACTTAATAAACTCACTCATTCAAGACGAAAGGTATGGTTATCATAGATCATTCTCCATATTGTACAGAAAAGTAGCCCAGGTTGGTCTCAAATTTGAGATTTCCCCTGGACACTGAGATTGTAGCTTGTCTCGTTTTATTTGTAGGGAATGTCCAGAGCAGGTAAATGAGAGAGACACAGACAGGCTAAGTTGCCAAGGGGCTAGACTATAGGAAGGAAACAGGAATGACTTCGTTGGTTTTCTTTGGGGATGGTGCAATGTTCAGGTATCAAAGTCACTTTAATTTTGATTTATTTCATTTATTTTAAGTGCTAGAGAGTGAACCAAGGACCCTGTGCATGACAGGTAAGGGTTCTACATGGAGTTACAGCCCCAGTCTAGCTTTCTAAACTTTATCTCAAGCAAAAAAAATCTATAGGAGGGGGCTGGAGAGACAGCTCAGCAGTTGAGAGCACTGGCTGCTCTTCCAGAGGACCTGGGTTCAATTCCCAGCACTCACATGGCAGCTCATAACTGTCTGCAACTCCCAATCAAGGGCATCCTCACACAGACACACATGCACATAAAGTAAAAATAAATAAAATAAACCTTTAAAAAAATCTATAGGAAAGAGACACCTGAGAAAGGAGTGCTTTCCTTTCCTTTTTTTTCCCCTTCAAAGAGACATTAAGCTGTGCAATTCTCCAGACCAAGTTCAAACTTCTTGGTTTGGAAGTAAAGGCCTTGGTAATTCAGGTCCCATATAATATATGAAGAACCTTTGTCTCAACAGATAATGTTTATTCAGAGTAAAAAAAAATTTTTTCCCCCTTTTTTTTTTTTTTTTTTTTTTTTTTTTGAGGCAGTCACTATGTAGTGCAGGCTAGTCTGAAACTCACCATTTTCTTGCCTCAGCCTCCTGTGTACTGGGTTATAGGTGTGTGCCCCAACACCTGGCGCCAAACTGTCTTTAACCTAAAAGGTATGGTAGCCACTTAAGTTTAATTAAAATAATTTTAAAATTTTGAAATAATCACAACTTACTGAAAAGTTGGAAGAGTTTTTTCTTTTTTCCTTAAAATCATTTTAGAGTGAGTTGCTGAGTAGTGCCCGATCTCCCTAATACCTCCTAGTGTTTGTCCCACACAGATGTCCCTACCTAACCTCAGTGTGCCATCAACAGGAAGAAACTGAGACACAAGTTTACCATGACGCTCAAAACGCCATTCAAGCTTAACCATCACCTACTTACCCTTAATAAGACACCAAGATTCAGTTTGGAACTATGTGTTAAATTTGTCATGACTTTTTAGTCTTTTTCCCTTGAGCTTTGTGGCCTTGGCGATTGTGAAGATCACAGGAATTTCCCCCCCTGCACTAGGCCTTGTCTGGTATTGCTTGGGTGAGACTGAAGATTTATCTTTGGTAGGGATGTCACAGAAATGGCCAACACACCTTTATCATGTACTAGTGAGCAGCTCATAATCCCACCTCATTACTTCTAATGTTCATCATTTGCCTAAAGTTTTTGTAGAACATGTTCTAGGCTCATCTTAAAGTACGTTCCCTGACCAGGCCTAACATAAGAGCCATAGAGCCAGGCTTTGATCCCATTACCCAGGAGGCAGAAGCAGGGTTCAATTCCCAACACCCACATGGAGGCTCACCAAGTGCCTACAACTTCAGTTCCAGAAAGTACACAAATACACACATATAAATAAAAACATAAAATATGGAAAAAAGGACTACATGAAAAGCAGTCATCTTTACATATGACATATTGCCCATTTTACAAAATGTACTTTGGGCTGCAGAGGGGGCTCAGAAGTTAAAAGCACCCAGTGCTCTTGTGGAGGACCTGGCTTTGAGTCCTAGCATCTACATAGTGGCTCACAACCATTTGTAATTCTAGTCCCAGGGGATCTAATGCCTTTTAATCTCTGTAGGTACAACCCATGGACACAGCACACACAGACATATACTGGCAAAACATTTAGACACATAAAATAAATCTAAAACAATACTGCTTTGAGCAATAAATTGTTCCTTTTACCAGAAAAAAGGAAAAGCTAAAGGACCCAAAAAGAAACAGGAGGACAAAGGGGGAAAGGCAAAATGGAAGAGAAAAGGAAAGAATACAAATGAGAATAAACGTCTATCTATTGCACTAAGTGTAACAGGCCCTTAACAACACCTTTTTTTGTTTTTGTTTTTGTTTTTCAAGACAGGGTTTCTCTGTGAAACAGTTCTGGCTGTCCTGGAACTCACAGAGATCCTCCTGGCTCTGCTTTCCCAGTGCTGGGATTAGAGGCGTTCGCCACCACTGCCCGGTTTAACAACACTTGTTAATGGGGCTGAAGAGATGGCAAGGCAACCAAAAGTTCTTATTGCTCTTCCAGAGGACCCAAGTTCATATCCCAGCACTAACATCGGATGTAACTCCAGCTCCAGGGGATGACAGTGTCTTCTGGACAACTCAGGCACTTATGTGCATACACCACACACACACACACACACACACACACACACACACTTACTTTAACCTTAGGATTCCAAATTCACCTGATGGTTGTGGTACACACCTTTAATCCCAGCACTCAGGAGGCAGAGGCAGGTGGATCTCTATGAGTTCAAGGCCAGCATGGTCTACATAGCAAGTTCTATGACAAATGCCAAAGGTACTGAGAAACCCTGTCTTGAAGAAAGAAAGAAAGAAAAAAAAGATTCCAAATTCAGTACAGCTAACCTAGGGTTCCAGGCTTGCAAACCCCAAGTGATTCAGCATAGAATGACATTCAGCACAGAACACGTCAAAATCACCATCAGAATCACCACCTTTATTTATTAGATTTAAGATTTATATATTTATATGTGTATGGGTGTTTTGCCTGTGTGTGTGTCTGTGAACTACATGGATGCAGTGCTCTTAAGAGGCCATTAGATTCCCCCCAAATCAAAGTGACATATGGTCATTAGTCACTGTGTGGGTCCTCTGCAAGAGCAGCAAATGCTCTTAACTGCTGAACCATCTCTCCAACCCCAATTTACTATCAGAGTACTCCTTAGCACTTGTGAGGTCCTGGGTTCCAACCACCACCACCACCACCAAAATAAATGAATAAGTACATGTAAGCAAGAGCTTAGTGATACAGGACTTGTGCTGGCTAGTTTATGTGTACTTTGACCCAAGACAGAGTCTTGTTCTTTTAGAGAACAAGTTCTTACTGTTCTTTTAGAGAAGTAGGAATGCACGTTGTACAAGTACAAACATGCAGACAAAACAATCATACATATAAAATAAGTAGAAAAAAAAAAGGATAAAAATTAAAAAGCAAGCAGCCCGGGAATGTGGCAGCCAGAGAAAAGGGTAAGGTACCGTGTGTGCATATGTGTATGTGTATGAACATGGTATAAGGATACGTATGTCTGAAAGTGTCACAATGAAACTCACAATACAGTTGATACTATGAAGCATCATGCCTTTGAGACAACCTGATTGTTGTTTTCCCCTTGTTCCTAGGCCCCATTTTATTGTGTCAAAGGAGCATTCTGGATGAGGTCACTAGGCTCTGAAATCTCAGTGGAAAACACTCAGTATTTGGTGACCATTCTAGACTCACTGAACCAGACTCTGATTAGTTTTTAGTTATTTGCTATTTATTGAGTTCTTTTTCTTGAGACAGACTCTTGCTAGGCAGCTGAGGATGGCCGGCCATTCTCTGGCTAATTTTGTTACTGTCTGTCTTTTGAGAGTGTCTCACTACACCACTGAGGTCGCCAGCAGTGGCTCTACTCCGGGCTTTTTAGTAGGTTCTTCAGGTGGTCCTAACACAGACAGCTTGGGAATCATGGAACTAAATGATCTGTAAATTCCCATCCTAGGCCACTGAGTGCTTGACGAGCTCTTCAGACACCTGTTATTTCACAGCAACCTTGTAAGACACTTATATTACTGTTAGAGTTTGAAAGGTTAAGAAAGTGTACCAGGTGGCAGTAGCACATAAGGCTAGCCTGGTCCACAGAGTGAGTTCCAGGACAACCAGGGCTACATAGAAAAACCTTGTCTCAGAAAGAAAATAAATAAATAAATAAATAAATAAATAAAAAGAAAAAAAATAAAGCAAAGTGCAGAGAGTGAACTGCTCAAAGCCACACAAGTTGTAGCTAAGCCATGAATAAAATCCATGCAATCCATTGATTCCAAGTAGCAATACATTCTATGGTTCTAACAGAATTCTGTAGGGTATTATTTTAATTGGGATTTATTTCCCCCCTGAGATAGGGTTTCTCTGTAGCTTTGGAGCCTGTCCTGGAACTCACTATGTAGACAAGGCTGGCCTCAAACACACAGAGATCCGCCTGCCTCTGCCTCCCAAGTGCTGGGATTAAAAGTGTGCACCACCACTGCCTGCTTAATTGGGAAATTTTTAAGTGTGCTTTGGAAAATGAGTTACAACTAAGAGAAAAGCATAATGTTGGTAGAAAGACAAGAGTTTACATTATGCCAATCCAACCGACAACACAGATGAGATAATACCTACCTTAACTGTACCATCGTCACTGCCAGTGCAGACAAGCTGTGGGCCCCGTCTGGCTGGATAACATGAGTTCACAAAGGAAGTGTGACCCTTCAGCCTTTTAACCCTCTCGCCTGTTTCACTATCCCACACAGCCACAGTTTTATCTGTCGATGCTGAGAAGAGCATGCTAGAAGAACAACACAAAAAATATAAGACAAACAACAGGGAATAGAGACACGCTCAGTGGTTAAGTGGCTGCTCTTTCAAATGACCTGGGTTTGATTCCCAGCACCCACATAAAGGCTGACAACCAGCTGTCACTCTAGTTACAGGGGATCTGATGCCCTCTTTTTGGCCTCCACCTGTACTGCATACATGTAGTACACAGACATACATGCATGCAAATACCTATATGAATAAAATAAAAGACAAACTCAAAACAGAAAAAGAGTGGGATCTCTTTTTCACTTGCTGAAACCTGTCAGATTCTTCTGGATCACTACCTGCCGCATTATACATTTAGCTCTTGAACCCAGGGTACCTCACCCTATCTTTGGCAATCCTATTTACCTACTGGTTTCACTATCAGGTTGACCCACACCACACAACCAATATAGAAGTTTTAATCAATCAATCTTTTCCTTTCTGTGATACACCTGGATACAATACCCTCTCACATAGAAGTATTTAAGCACTTTCTTCTGTGGTGGAGGGGAGCCTGACTGGTAATTCAAGATTTAAGAGCAGAATAATTCCAACCCTTTGCTCTGTCTATGGGAAAGAGTTCTAAGTTAAACTCGATCTTATAATTATGACTTCTTGAAATTCCTTTGAGACAGGACCATGCTATGTAGCCCAGGCAGGTCTTGAACTCAAGATGCTCCTGCCTCATCACCACCCAAGAACCAAGAATGGACTACATGCAATAACGCCCAATACAATGCTGAAGAAAAAGATTATCAGGAGGTGTGGCCTTGCTGAAGTAGGTGTGACCTTGCTGGAGGAAGTGTATAACTAGGGGTGGGTTTTGAAGTTTCATATGCTCAAGCCAGGCCCAGTGTCTCTCTCTCTCTCCCTGTTGCCCGGTGATCTAGATGTAGAACTCTCAGCTACCTCTCCAGCACCATGTCTGCCCATGTGCTCCCATGCTTTCTGCCATGACAATACTGGACTAATCTCTGAACTGTAAGCCAGCTCCAAATAAATATTTCCTTTTGCAAGAACAGCTATGGCCGGGCGTTGGCGCACACCTTTAATCCCAGCACTCAGGAGGCAGAAGCAGGTGGATCTCTGTGAGTTCAAGGCCAGCCTGGTCTCCAGAGTGAGCGAGTGCCAGGATAGGCTCTAAAGCTACACAGAGAAAACCCTGTCTCAAAAACCAAAAGGATCTCTGAGTTTGAGGCCAGCCTAGCCTACCTACAAATTTACCCTGCCTTGAAATACTAACAAAAGAGAATTGTTGTGGTGTCTACTTAAAGCAACAGAAATCCTGAGACATGTTCTTAACCTCTGAGCTGTCTCTCCAGTCTCTTATAATACTTTCTTAACTTAAAATGCAAAATTGGAGATCAGAAATGTAAAATAAGCAAGGTGCAGTGTCATACACCTGTAATCCCAGATATTCAGGGGCTGAGGCAGGAGGACTGTAAATTCAAAGTCAGCCTGAGTAAATTACCAAGACTATGATTCAAAGAAAACAAAAAGGAGCTGTGGAGATGGCTCAGCTACAAGGACCAGAGTTGAAATCTCCACGTAAAACACTGGGTATGTCAAATAAATAAATAAATAAATAAATAAATAAATAAATAAATAAAAAATTGTGTTTTTAAAAATTTTTTTTTTGAGATAGGATCTCACTATGTAGAGTAGGCTGGCTTTGAACTTAGACATCTGCCCGCCTCTGCCTTTCTGAGAGCTGACATGTGCCTCTACGCACCATGATAAAAAATTTAAAGCGCTAATTTCAAATTTCATTTGCTTCATTTCACCAGGCAGTGGTGGTGTATGCCTTTATTCCCAGCACTTGAAGGCAGAGGCAGGTGGATCTCTGTAAGCTGGAGGCCAGCTTGGTCTATAGAGCAAGTTCCAGTACAGCCAGGACTGTTTCACAGAGAAATCTTGTCTATAAAACAGAAAACATAACAAAACAAAACATCTGGTTGAGTACTGGCATATTAGAAGGTAAATGATGACGTGCTTTAACTGTACACTATGTTACCTATATGAGCCTTAAAACTGTGCTCCTCCTACCTCAGCTTCCTCAGTGCTGACATTACAGGGTTATGCCACTATGCTCCACCAAAATGCAGTTTTTGACAGAGTCTGTCTCTAAGAGATGCTAAGCACTAGTATGGGAAGCAGTTGTCATTTCATTATGCAGAATGCTCACCTGCCATCTGTGTTATAATGCAGCTCCATTACTGCTCCACTGTGTCCCTTCAATGTGGCATAGTTATCGCAGTCACCATAGACATTCCACAATACTGTTGAGAAGGGAAGGAAACCATCACCAGAGAAAGGTCAATGTGAAATAACCAGGAAAATATTTCTGAAATTGCATGCCCATGGAACAACATCAGTTCTACCACCGAGACCAATCTTCCTAACACTAACATTTCTCTGTGTGTGCATGTGCTCATGTGTTCCATTGTCAATGTACACTAGTGTACACATATGGAAGCCAGAGAGGACAACTGTGGGTGCTGTTCATCAGACATAATCTACCTTTTTCTTTTTGAGACAGGATCTCTTCAATGGCCAGGAACTTGCTAAGTAGACTAGGCTGGCCAGCTGATGGGCCCCAGGGGTCTACCTGTCCACCCTCCCAGAGCCGAGAATTAAAGCACATGCCACCCTACCCAGCTTTATATGAGTTCTGCAAATTGAACTCAGGTCCTAACTGACTGAGCTATTTTCTCAGCCTTAACTTATTAGACAAGATTTGTTTATTTATTTCATGTGTATGAGTGTTTTGTCAGGAAGTATGTATATGCACCATATGCATGCCTGCCTATGAAGGTTACAAGAGGGAGTCGGATTCCCTGGAACTGGAGGTAGAGATGGTTGCGAGCCACCATGCAGGTACTGGGAACCAAACTTGGGCCCTCTACAAGAGCAATATACGCATTTAACTGCTGAAGTATCTTTCCACCCCTTCAGCTTTAATTTTTAAAAACTTAGTACTTTTTCTTGTATGCTCAGAGTCTGTAGACAGCCTGAAAATGGAACCATTGAGCTATACCACCTCAGCTTCATTTTCAATTTATTTTTTTTAAAGATTTCTTATTTATTGATGTGGAAAGTGTGTCGGCAGACACCCTCAGAGATCTGAAGAGAGCACTGGATCCCTTGAACCTGTATATAGGCAGTTGTGAACCACTTGATGTCAGGGACTGGGAAGTGAACTCACATCCTCTGGAAGAGCAACAAGTGCTTTCCCCCCCTTTCTTTTCAAAACAGGGCTTTTGTGTTTCTTGGCTATTCTCTGTAAACCAGGATAGCCTCAAATCCAGAGATCCACCTACCTTTGCCTCCTGAGGGCTGGGACTAAAGGCCCAGTCAATCCCTGCTAACTAAAAATGTTCTTAACTGATGAGCCCTCTCTTCAAACCATACTTATTTTTTCAAATATGGACATTCCTAATGAGTAACTGAGAATCTGGCAGCAGATGACTTTAGTGAGTCACCACTTGAGGATCCCATTTTTCTCCCTCATATACTAGGATCCTAGGTATGGATGAAGGTCTCATGTTTTTATAAGTAGAAAAGTTCTTTCTTTGCTCTTAACACTCAGTAATCCACTGCTACTAAACTGATGCTCTTGCTAAATCATCTCAAGAGTCATTTCCATGGAAAATTATATCTTCAGCTACTCTTGGTAGTATAGGTTCATAATTCCAATACTTGGGAGGTGGAGGCAGGAGGATTAGATGTTCCAAAGTCATTCTCACTACATAGCCAGTTTGAGGACAGCTGGGGCTACATGAGAGTGATAAGAGGAGGGAGGGAGGGAGAGAGAGAGAGAATATATAACTCTAACCAAAGCAACCCACTTCCCAATTAGTAAAATGTTTCCTTCTTTTTATTTACCATATGGATGTACCTAAATGATTGCTCATTATTTTGAGGCCCATTTTATTGTGTTACCACTATAATTTAACTTGCAAATTTAGACGGATGCCTAAAGCCTTCTATGGCACACAAAATTTAAAAAAATAATTATGGCCGGGCATTGGTGGCGCATGCCTTTAATCCTAGCACTCAGGAGGCAGAGGCAGGCGGATTTCTGTGAGTTCGAGGCCAGCCTGGTCTCCAGAGAGTGCCAGGATAGGCTCCAAAGCTACACAGAGAAACCCAGTCTTGAAAAACAAAAAACAACAACAAAAATTATGTAGCAGAAAGCAGTAATTCTAGATTCAAAAACTGTGCCTTACATATGAGTCGGTCAAATCCTGAAGATGCCAAGGTGGATCCATTGGGGTGAAACTTGCAGCAGTACACTTCTCCTTCGTGTCCTGAGAGCAACATGATTGGGGCTTGAAGGGAAGAACACCTTGGAGGTCCCTAAATCAAAGAGAAGTGTGAGGCAGTCACAGCACATAGGCAAAGGAAGCTGTGAAGTCGGGGCAGGCATTTCATTTGGGTTAGGGAATGGCACCTCTGCTCACAGAACTCCTGCCTTTCACTGGATAAACCTTTGGACATTCCAGCATATGCTCACCATACCACTCTCCTCCCCAACTCTGCTTTTGTTCCACAGCCAACTTCTGACTGCTTAATCATGCTGACTTCACTTATACCTCAGGATCTTAACAAGGAAAAATGTCTCCCACAGAGCTCTCCTGCTATTGGGCTCCTTTTAAATATTTCCTCCCCAGAGTCTTTCTTTAACAGTCAAACTTAAGTAGCAGCCATCTCCCCACCAGTATTCCATTAGGTTTAGTGCTGCCTCAAGTTTCCTTCCTCATGTCATTGCTGACATGCTTCTTTTTCCCCAAATAAATGAAGCTCTGGGAGTGCAGGAACAACATTTCTCAGACTAGTTCACCCACCTAGCCTTTGAAAAACCCTGCATAGTACAACTTACTATGCAAAATAGATTTTAGGGGTATGAGCAGCGCTTTGATAAGTAGCTCAGGCTGGTCTTAAATTTTCAGTCCTCCTGAGTGCTGGTAATAATACAAGTGTGAATTGCTATGCTTGGTTTGGCAAAGCAGTTTCTGATTAGGGTCTTGGACGCTAAGCCTGTTTGGCAAGTCTTCCAACCCTGGGCTGACAGTGTTACTTGGCAAATAAGTGTACTACCAAAAATAGTCCTGAAATCTCTTTGGTAGGTTCCAGTGTACTAACTTATATTTATTATCATGTATTAACTATGAAAAGTAATGTAAATAATGTACCATGAGCATATTTATCTAGTGTAATTATTGAAAATAACACATGTGTACCACAGAGATGGCCCAGTAGTTAGAGAGCACTTACTGCTCTTCCAGAGGTCCCGAATTCAGTTCCCAGTACCACACTAGGCAGCTTTCAAGTGCCTGTAGCCCTAGGTTCAGAGGATTCAACAATCTCTTCTGGCCTATGAGGGTACTCACACATACATACAGACATACGGATAAAAATAAACCTAATATATCTAGGCACTGGGGAAACAGCACTCAATAAAACAATGAACTGTGCATTCTGGTGGAAAGTGAGTGAGAGAATGGGAAAGGAAACAAAACAAAAAACAAGTAGAACACCTAGTGTTGCATGCAATGGAAAAAAATATGAGTACCAGAGTACAGGGTACTTTAACTTAAAATACAGTGGCCAGGAGAGCACACTGAAAACAGGTATCTGAACCAAGATTTGAAAGAACCAGTAGTTAAACATGTGGGCATTTGGAGTAATATTCCAGCATATGCAACAACAGCAACAGAATTAACAGCACACAGGCTGGTGTTATTTGAGAAGGATGACATGCTAGAAAACGGGTACATGAGCATAGAAAAGGGGTTATTACACAGAATTTGATTTTTCTTTAATTTGGAATGAAATAGCCAACACAATATTTTCAGCAGAGAATCATGTGATTTAATGTTGTGGTGATTCTCCTGGCTACCAGACTAATAATTGATCCTTGATTCAAAGGCAAAACCAGAAATACTAATTAAGCCCCACCTGCAATGATGCCAGATGACATAAAAGTTTGACTAGGAGGTAAGGATTTCAGGTAAACAGTTCTCTTCCGTTCAACAAAAGAGTTTTGCTATAATAGCCTACACTGGCTTGGAACCCTTGACCCTCCTGTTCAGCAGCTTGAGTGTAAATTTGTGTGTGTCCAGCTTTTTATTTACTTATTTTTGAGTCAGCGACCTTGCTGTGTTAAAAAGTAAGTTAGTACACCGGAATCTACCAAAGACATTTCAGGATTACTGGTGGTACACTTATTCTTACTTGACAAGTAGGATTGTCAACCCAGAGTTGCAGGCTTGGCCTCCAACTCCTTCCCTCAAAATTTTCTTGTCAGCCTTCTGAAAAGATGCAACTACAGCCCTACACCACTTGCCAATTTTATTTACTTATTTTAATGACCACACCAGCAGAATTGAGAGTTGGGACAGGAGGCACATTTATTTCCGTATCTGAAACTAATATCATAGTAGTGAGGGCATGATCACTATTTTACAAGAAATGCCATTAGGAGCTTAGCTTCTAACTCAAAGAAGTTTGCTTTCCCTATATGCAAAATAACAGCTCCTTTCGGGCTGTTACCAAGATTAATGGAAATTTCTCATGCAAAACAGCTAACACTCGAGCCAACGGATATTAATTACTGTTAATAATGCAAAATCAGAAAAAGAGAAAAGTAAATTGTACCAGATGGCAGAGAGAGCCTGTATCATTCATTTCCCTTGCTTCCCCTCCCATTCATTCATTCATTCATTCGTCCACTCTACAAACTTTTCTGAATGTTTATTTTATGCTGAATCCCTGAAGATTTAGGATGCGGAACTTTGGATCCTGATTTTTGAGGCCAAGGTTTTAAATGATTCAATGCTACTTCACAGGGCGATTCAAAGGCTGGAAACAGGCGTCCGACAGGGACACATGTATGAAACAGAACACACGGCACGTATGTAAACAGAGGCCTGCTTTCACTTCAGCTTCTCTGTCTTTCCGTTCCCGCAGCGCCGGGAAGGTCTATTGGGAGAGGAGCGGAGGGCCGAAGAAGGGATGCCTCCCCACTTACCGCCTGCAGCAAAGCTCCCGGAGTCGCCTGCGGCTGTCCGGCTCCGGGGCCGGCCCCCGCGGCTCCCAACAGCAACTCATGTCGCGGCCGCTTGACAGGAACCAGTGGCAGGGCGGGGGCCTC